ATGAGTTTAGGATAGGAGATATGTACGCTGTGTTTAGAGCACTGAGGAGTGAAATCAAGAGATCTCTACGTGGGTCTGCATTATCAAGGTAAAGGCTAAAAGTATTTGAGAGGAAGAGTGGGATTACAATACATCAAATTTGCAGAGAGATTGCATAAGAGCCACTCTCAGCTGCGTCTGGGTTTAAAGGCCTTGAGAAACATATTTCAGCTCAAACAGACGATAACCCAGAAACCATTCCATTCACTGCAGGAATTGATCGGAAGTTCACAGAGGAAGGGATGACGTGAGGCACAGAATAAGGAACATAGAAGAGAAAATAAACAGAAGGGAATTCACTATGTCAGGGAGTGGCAGGAAGGGGCCCATTCTGGAGTCAACTTGAACAAAACTACATGCGCTGATACTAAATTCCTAGTGGTATTAACATATGGACAAATCTTGATTTTGGACTGAAACATTTGTTGCTTTAGTAGTAGTATATTTAAATCATTGTAAGTTTTGTAAAAGGTGTTACTTTTGGGGTATTTTTACAATATATATTTTATTGCTATATATGTATCTGAGAACTCATGATAGAATTGTGTTATCTTTTTTAAAAGAGCTATACTTGAGGACATATGGAAAACTGAGAAATGAAAACACAGTGAGTATAGTAACAGTCTGCATATCCTAAATAAATCCTCATGGTACTGGTGCCAGAGGTTCAGAGGGAGAGATGAATAGTTGGAGCACAGGACATTTTTAGGAGATGCACTTCTAATGGTGGATACACGACATTATCCATTTGCCCCTAAAACTGTACAACACAAAGAGTGTGCCCAAATGTAAACAATGGATTTATTCAATAATGTATCAATATTGTTCCATCAATTGTAACAAATGTAACACACTAATGAAAGACATTAATAACATGGGAAACTGTGTATGAGAGGGTATATGAGAACTTTCTGTACTTTCTACTCAATATTTCCATAAACCTTAAATTTCTCTAAAAATTTAAGCCTTCAGTAAAAAAATTGTCACGATAAAGGGACATATATCAAGACGTGAATATAGTGTAGGTGTGGTGTTAAGGATGTTGTGGGAATCAGGGAAACTATTGCTGGGAAAGAAAATAGGTCAAGTGTTGAGGGCTCACCATTGAGAGCTACAGAGTAGTTTGAAGCCACAGACTACATATACACACAGAAATGTAAGTAGATTTCAAAAACTTCATAATGAATGATAAAAAGCAAGAAAGAGATTGGATAAATACCATAATGCCATTTACGTAAATTAAAATACAGGCAGTCCCAAACTTGCGACGGTTCAGTTTACAATTTTCTGACATTAGGATGGTGTAAAAATGATATGCATTCTGTAAAAACTGTACCTTTCATTACAAAATTTGATCTTTCCCTGGGCTAGCAATATGTGGTACAATACTCTCTTGTAATGCTGGACAGTGACAGCAAGCCACAGCTCCCAGTCACCCTGCTATCACAAGAGTAAACAACCAATACACTTACAACCATTCTATACCCATGCAAACATTCTGTTTTCCATTTTCGGTACAATATTCAATAAACTACATGAGATAGTCAACATTTTATTATAAAATAGGCTTTGTGTTAGATGATTTTGCCCAACTGGAGGCTAATGTAAGTGTTCTGAGCACGTTTAAGGTAGGCTAGACTAAGCTATGATGTTCAGTAGGTTAGGTGTATTAAATGCATTTTTGACTTAAATGATATTTTCAACTTAAGATGGGTTCATCAGGAAGTAACCTCATCATAAATTGAGGAAGATCTGTACCTATCTACATACCCAATGATATTATACAGTTTATAATAACATATACAAATAAAGAGATAAATAGTAAACACATTAGAAAGATCTCTGGTGAAGGATGGGAATGGAGACAAATGGAAATACATGGAAACAGATGTCCATATAAGAAAAAAGTCTTGCCCAAACCAATGAGGATACTACATCATGAATGAGGAAAATGATTAACTGAACTTTTTTGATTTGTTAAAAATACAATTGAGGAGCCAGCTCTGTGGCCTAGTGGAAAATTTGGCAGGGTCTGCTTCAGAGGCCTGGGGTTCAGTTCCTGGATGGAGGCCTACACCACTCATCATTGGCCATGCTGTGGCAGCAACCCACATATGAAACAGAGGAAGGTGGGCACAGATGTTAGATCAGGCCAAATCTTTCTCAAGCAAAAAAACAAGATTGGCAACAGAAGTTCAGGGAGAATCTTCCTCAGCAAAAAAAATTATATATACTTGTATATATAGTTGATGCACAGTCTTGCTAGAGTCTTACCATCCCTTTCCTTCTTTCAGGGCATGCAGGAAGACAAAATTCCCCAAAACTACTGAAGTTACCAGGGGGGCCTAAAGCTAGGTCAATTGGATGTGGCAAAGAGTGGAATGCCAATTCCAGGGGTGATCATAATATGTCCTTTGTGGGCTTACATACTCTCTCACAGATGTTAGAGTCCTACAATGGATAGAGCTGGTTCCGTGAGCCACTGCCTGAAAGATGAATACCCAGGGTGTTCAGTCTGCCATATCTGACTGAAACATCAGTGAGCACTATCCTTTTATGATGGTAACTGATTGAGATTTGGGGTAGCTAACTACCATGACTAATATGACACTGCTATGATGAAAAAGCTGTTTGATGAAGATAAGTAGAAAAGTTTAATGACCATTTTTGATTGGAGAAGGAGGAAGGAGAGGAAGAAAGGAGAACATCTAGGATGAAAAAGTGTGTCAGTCTTGATACGATTTAATGATGAGACCTTAGGTTAGGGCAAAAGTGGATGCTAGTGAAAAAGAAATGAAGGCACAGATGGATACAGAGTGCATAATGAACAACTTTGGGTGGATTTGCAATCTGACAAAGAAAGAAGTCAAGCCTGGAAAACCAGGCAAGAGAAGGACAGCTCCAGTGGTGGTGATGTAAAATGGTGATCACATGGTGAGTTATTGCCTTAGGCAGGGTTGAATCTACTTGATATCACTGGTATCTAGCTGCATTTCTTTCCTGAGTTATCTCTACAACCCTCATAACTATGAAAATATTTATATGGTGATAAAGACTAATATCCAGCCTTGACCTGTGACCTTAATACCTGAATCTCCACATGTATGTCTACTATGCAACTCCATCTCAGGAAGTCCAGCGAGATGTCTTGATTTTCTCCCCAAATTTGCTTCCACCTTAGTACTCTCCCATCTTGTATAGTGGCATCAGAATTTACTCATTTGTTCAGGCCAAAAGCCTATATCCCCTTGAAGATATCTATTTCTCCACTAGAAATCCCCCAATAGTAGAAAGTAATCTAAACCACCAGCAGGTCTTATTGTTCTATCTCTAAAATATTTCCCAAATCCAGTTACATGTTACCAGCTCCATGGATAACTCTTCAATTTACATCCCTATCATCTCTCTTCTGGACTGTTTCGATAGCCTTCTAGCTGGTCCCTGCTACCCCTCAGTGAAGAATTGTGACCTTTAAAAGTCCACGTTAAAAAATTTCCCTTAAAAAATAGAGGCTGGGTAATGTAATGAGAATAACTCGGGCGGAGGCATCACTAGGTAGAAACTCAGGGAAGAGCTCTTTGAGGAGTTGATATCGGAGCTTGAAAAATTAGAGGGTATAGGCTGAGCCATGTGCAGGGAACAGAGTATTTGGAGTAGAAGGAAGAGCAAGTGTAAGGGCTGTGTGGTGGAACCAGCATGATGTTTAGAAGACTAGAGGGAATGGGAGACAGTGGTAGGAGAAGAGGTGAGAAGGGATGCAGGGGGAGATATTGTCCTGGAAGGACTTGGATTTTGTTATAAGTATATCAGAATACCATTGGAGTGTCACTTGGGTCCTGTGGTAGGAAGACAGGAAAAAGTCCAAGCTTGAGAATGCACAGATAAGCTCAGTGTGTGGATGAAATATGTCACATTAACAAGAGGCACATACGAGCAGGTGGTGCCTTTTAAAGAAGTGAGCTACACAGTCTCAAAAGGTATCTAACAGAAATTAGGTGATTGTTAGGCAGAAATGCAGAGCTGTCTTCATTTTGCAGAGTGTTGAACTTGATACTTCTAAGGCTCCTTTATATCTTTTAAAGTATCCTTTACTAGTTAAGATCTGATAGGATCATTTGACAAATCTGAACAATGGGTATTGAAATGAATCCTCTTACAACTGGTCTTCTGGCTGCCACTACTAGTTCCTACCCAACTGTCTTCACAACCCAGCTGTCACATCCCCATCATTCTTATACTCTTATTAAACATTACCTTGAAGTTTGTTACACACAAAGAAGTGCACAAATATGTACAAGTTTGTTAATTCTCACAAAATAAATATACCTATTTAGGCAGTTAGTAGGTGAAAAAAGAATATTGCTATCACACAAGAAGCCCATCTTGTGCCTCTTCCTAATCACTGCTCCCACCAAAGTTATCCACCATCATGCCTTCAATACCATAGATTAGTTTGCCTGCTTTTGACCTTTATAAAGATTGGAATCATATGGTATGCAATCCTTAGTCATATAATGATTTTTCCATGTTGTTTCATGTGGCTATTGTTTGTTCTTTCTTATTGCTGAATACAAATTTATAAGAGTCTTCCATAATTTACTTTTTCATTCTACTGTTGATAGCTATTAACCTGTACCTATGCTCCAAGAAGACTTATTTATCCACTTTTCTTTATTAGATTGCTTCATTCATTAATTCACTATACATTCATTCATTCATTATGTTATTTGAGTTAATGGTATAGAAGCCTGAGTCTGAACACTCAGGGAAATGAATGCTCTGATCCAAAGATCCGTGTAGGTAATATTTAATTGTGAAAAATTCAAAGGTCATGATTTTTAGTTGCACTGGGAGTGTCCAGTGACATATAAATTACCCTCAGTGCCCTCATGCGAGACATGCTTGGGTGACAGCAATGGTTGACTGCCTCCTTCAGAAGGAACTCTGTCAGGACACAGGACCTCCCAAAGTGACGTGACACTCACCTGTCTGAAAGATGGCCAAATACCAGACCTCCCAGCAGCTGGGCAGCCATAAATAGGAATTGAGCCACTGATCTTAGTGATTGAGATCCACATACCAGGTCTCATTGGAAGAGAAGGAAAGCAGCACAGCACTTTTAGGAGAGCTTAAACGCTTTCGTGGAAACTGAGTCCAAACTCCTACATATGATGTACAGGATCCTCTACTGTGTGGGTCCTGCCTTCCTCTCCAACCACTCTCCACTAGCTTCCCACACACTAATAATACTGAACTATTTCAATACTTCAAATACAGCTGGCTCACTCTCTCTTCCCTCAGATCCTTTATATAGTCTCTATCCACATGTCTATATATATTTCTTCACTTTCCTCTTCGACCACAAGTTCCCTTTATTGTATTTACTTACACACATTCTTCAGATACTGTCTCAAACATCGTTTCTCCAAGAAACCTTCTGTCATCCGACAGGTAACATAAGAGCTCTGCCTTTTAGTTCACTTAGAAGTCTATATTCAACTTGTACAGTAACCTTCATCTCTGGCCACACATCCAATTACTTGAAAATCTTAAAAAATACTGATGCCTGAGTCCTTTGCCAAGAGGTTCTAATTTACTTAATCTGGGCATCAGTTTTCAGTGAGGATTAAGAACCACTGACCTAGCATAACATTACTTTTTAAATTATAGGTCTCACCCACTAGATTAAATGATGTAATCACAGGTTCATATATACTTTGTTCAGTTCATTAATCTCAATACTAATACTCTTGACTGTCATAGTATAGATAAGCAATTACTATCTGCTGAAGAAATAAAAAAGGGCTGATTGCAGTATCCATCTGGGGACTAAATGTATAAAGCAAGTCAGTTTTTTGTGTTAGTTCTAAACCCTTTGCTCATATAGCAGAAGATATATATGGGACCTCTTACCTCAGTCACAATGGTGGAGGAGAAGGAGCTTTGGTCATACACCCAGCCATCTACACAAGGCTCCGTATCCAGCTCAGTTGTTTCGGAGAAGGTCCCATTCATGTGAAGGAACTGCCACTGGGGATGGAGGAAGCGACGACATTTCTCTGGCCTAAAGTTTGAGTCCAGTGGGATGGAGATTCTCGGGCGGGCATTTTGGCTGAGGATTTCAGTGCCATTAGCTGAGACAGTGTCAATGTCAAGGATGTGGACCCAGAAGCAGTGACCAGGGACGGCTGCAGTGAAGTTCTCCAATGGAATATGAGGGTATACTATAAGGATGCAGACACAAAAGAAAGCAGTCTGAAGGACATGGAATCTCCCCAGGCTTCCAACTTGATCCAGGAGGTCCTGAAAGGCCATCAAGGCTGAACAAGTGATCCCAAAGAGGAGGCACAATGACTTCACAGAGATAAGGTCAAAGAGAGAAAGTATTTCCTTTTACTATGTCAACTAGGTTCATGTTGATCCTGACATCACTTTCTCCTCAGGGGCCCCACCTCCCACTACAGAAGAGCAGTGGGAGGAGATGACTCCAAGTCTTTTGAGTTTAGGCAGCTAGATAGTACCAATAAAGTCACAGATATAATTATTTGGCAAAGAGACTTTTAGTTGTTGACAACTAAACCTGCTTAAAAGCCTACTCAGCTGAAATCCTTGCTCCACATCGTCAAAATCTCACACAAAACAGAAAAATTAAAGGAGAGGAAATTCAGTGCCATGGACTTAAGTAAGTACTATGGTAACCAAATGTAGACACAAAAGAATGATGAAATTGAATGTTCCATGGATCAGCCTGTAATTCATCCTTAGAGTAATGGGGAAATGAGGAGGATTCAGAGCAATAAGTATTAACAGTGGCAATAATGATCACTAAAAATATATTCATATATGGGCCGGCCCGGTCGCATAGCAGTTAAGTGCACGCCCTCCGCTTCGGCGGCCCAAGGGTTCACAGGTTTGGATCCCGGGCGCGCACTGACGCACCACTTATCAAGGCATACTGTGGCTGCATCCCATATAAAGTGGAGGAAGATGGGCACGGATGTTAGCCCAGGGCCAATCTTCCTCAGCAAAAAAGAGGAGGATTGGCTTTGGATGTTAGCTTAGGGCTGATCTTCCTCACAAATAATTATATATATTTATATTTATATTTGTTTATTTATTTATATCTTCCTACAAAGCACTGGGCAAGGTCCTTTCCACGCACCTGCTATTTATCCTTCACAACCACCCTATGAGATGGGTATTATTCCCCTCGGTTTGCAGGAAAAATATAACATGGAGAAGTCTGTAATATGCCCAACCAAGTTGACTGTTCTAGTAAAATGTGAACAGTGTATAAACCCTAACGAAATCTGGCAGGAACTCCAAAGTTGGATTTGGATATGTAGTGGGGGATGAACTAGCTGGCCAAGGATGGACAAGGAAATCAGGGAACTATGCATAATTATGCAAACACCTACCTGTAAATTCCCACTCCATCATCTTAGTACACAGGCTTCTTTTATGTCACAGACTCCATAATTATTTGTAGGACAAAAGAAGCCCAAGCACTGTGACATTGCTGTGAGAAGTTTATGTCTTATTGAAATGGAGGAGAGGTGGGAGCTGCTCATTTTATGCTGAATTCCCATTGGGCACCACCGCTGCTATAACTCTGGGTTTTGTTGTGCATGAGCTCTTATCCTGATACATTGGTTTATTTATTTCTCCTTTCCTTCCAGCATCACTGGTTGTTTTGCTGGCTTGATTTAAGTTTCTGTAATTAGACATCTGCAGTGATTTGCTACTGTGCTCAGCTTTCCTTTGATCCCATTGAAACCCTTCAATATTACAAGAGGGCAAAACTAGAATTCACATCCATGTTTGCTTATTGGGGACAGACGTGCACTAGACCACATGAGAAACTTCCATAAGGTAAGGCTGCCTTGAAAACTGAGGCTTCCTCAAGGAGCCTCCTTAGAAAGATGCCCCAGGAAGATGCTGCCCTCATCCTTGAATATGCCTCCTGGTAAATCAATGGAACCAGAACCTGCCCCACCTTTTGGGGAGGGAAGGAAATACAGACACAGGCAAAAAAATTCTATAGCATAAAATAAGCTTCATCCAAGAATCACCAAACCCCTGACATACAAATGGGCTGTGATGTCTCCCAACTCAAACAAAAACAAAATAAACTTCTGACGAACCCACTTTCTCCTTCAGCTACTGCCCCATTATCTGATCTCATTGACAGAAAAAAAATTTCCATCTCTATTACTTCCGTCTCACTTATATTTTTACCCAATCCTATCAGGCATTAATATCTACCAAATTTCTTCTGAAAGTCCTACTGTTTTCCATATTTTCAGATCCAAATGTTTATGTTGTAGTTGATAAATTCCTCTTTCTAGAAACAGTTTCTTTATTTGCCTATCAAGACCTTACTTTAATTTGGGTTACTCATTCATTGCCGGCTGCTCTTTCTCATTCTTCTGTGTTGGCTCTTCAAACATTGGAGTGTTGGAGGGCTCAGTTCCTGAATATTTTCTCTTCTCTATGTATACTCACTTTCCTCATCTCTTTACTAGCGGCTCCTGAATTCACATATCCAGCACAACCTCTCCCATAAACCTTAAGTTTTAAAACTTGCTCCAACTCAAAAGATATCCAGAATCTGACTGCCTCTAACTACCTGCTATATTACCCACCAAGTCTAAGTCACTCTTTTTTCTCACCTAGACTATTGTCCACTCCCATATTCATTGACATATATCTTCAAGTAAGTCTTTTATTGTTTTTTTTATTGAAGTAACATTGGTTTATAACAGTATATAAATTTCAGTTGTAAATCATTATACTTCTATTTCCCAATAGATTACATCATGTTCCCACCCAAAGACTAATTACAATCCATTACCACACACATGTGCCTAATCATCCCTTTTGCCCTCCTCTCTCTCCCTATGCCCTCTGGTAACCACCAATCCAATCCATGTGTCTAAGTGTCTATTTGTTCTTGTTTTTATCTTCTACTCATGAGTGAGAGCATATGGAATTTGGCCTTCTCCCTCTAACTTATTTCACTTATCATAACACCCTCAATGTCCATCCATGTTGTCACAAATGGCTGGATTTCATCATTTCTTATGGCTGAGTAGTATACCATTGTGAATACATACCATATCTTCTTTATTCATTCATTCCTCGATAGGTACTTAGGTTGCTTCCAAGTCTTGGCTATTGTGAATAATGCTGCAATGAACACACGTGTGTGTGTATCTTTACACATATGTGTTTTCCTGATCTTTGGATAAATACCCAGGAGTGGAAAAGCTGGATCGTATGGTAGTTCTATTATTAATTTTTTGAGGATTCTCTGTACTGTTTCCCATTGTGGCTGCACCAGTTTTCACTTGAACCAGCAGTGTATGAGTATTCCCTTCCCTCCACATCCTCTCCAACAATTGTTTCCTTTCTTGTTAGTTATAGCCATTTTGACGAACATGAGGTGATATCTCATTGTAGTTTTGATTTGCATTTACCTGATAGTTAATGATGTTGAACATCTTTTCATGTGCCTGTTGTCCATCTGTATATCTTCTTTAGAGAAATATCTGTTCAGATCTTTCGCCCATTTTTTAATTGGATTGTTAGATCTTTTGTTGTTGAGATGCATGAGTTCTTTATATATTTTGGATATTAATCCTTTATAAGATAGATGTTTTGCTAATATCTTCTCCCAATTGTTAGGTTATCTTTTCATTTTATTGATGCTTTCCTCTTCTGTACATAAGCTTTTTAGTTTGATGTAGTCCCATTTGTTTATTTTTTCTATTGTTTCCTTTGCCTGGTCAGACATGATATTTGAAAATATGCTGCTAAGACCGATGTCGAAGAGTATACTGCCTATGTTTTCTTCTAGAAGTCTCATGGTTTCAGGTCTTACATTCAAGTCTTTAATCCATTTTGAGTTAATTTTTGTGTGCAGTGTAAGATAATGGTCAACTTTCATTTTTTTTGTATGTGGCTGTCCAGTTTTCCCAACACCATTTGTTGAAGAGACTTTCCTTTCTCCATTGTATATTCTTGGCTTCCTTGTTGAAAATTAGCTGTCCATAAGAAATTACAACAGACACCTCAGAAATACAAAAGATTATAAGAGAATACTACAAAAAGGTATATGCCAACAAATTGGATAATCTAGAAGAAATGAATAAATTCTTAGAATCATACAACCTGTCAAAACTGAATCAAGAATAAATAGAGAATTTGAATAGACCAATCACCAGCAAGGAGATTGAAACAGGAATCAAAAACCTCCAAAAAAATAAAATTCCAGGATAAGACGGCTTCCCTGGTGAATTATACAAAACATTTGAAGAAGATTTAGTACCTATCCTTCTCAAACTATTCCAAAGAATTGAAGAGGACAGGAAGCTTCCTAACTCATTCTATGAAGCCAACATTACCCTGATACCAAAACCAGACAACGACAACGCAAAAAAAAGAAAATTACAGGCCAATATCACTGATCAACATTGATGCAAAAGTCCTCAACAAAATACTAGCAAATAGAATACAACAAAACAATCATCTCAGTAGATGCAGAGGAAGCATATGATAAGATACAGCATCCATTTATGATAAAAATTCTTAATTAAATGGGTAGAGAAGGAAAGTACTTCAACATAATAAAGACCGTATATGACAGCTAATATCATCCCTGATGGTGAAAAACCGAAAAATATCCCTCTAAGAACATGAACCACACAAGGATGCCCACTTTCACCACTCCTATTTAACATAGCATTGGAAGTCCTAGCCAGAGCAATCAGGCAAAAAAAAAAGAAATAAAAGGAATACAAACTGGAAAGGAAGTGAAACCATCACTATTTGCAAATGACATGATTTTATATATAGAAAACCCTAAAGAATCCATCAAAAACCTTTTAGAAATTATAAATGAGTATAGTAAAGTTGCAGGATACAAAATCAACATACAAAAATCAGTTGCATTTCTATAAACTAACAATGAAGTCATAGAAAGAGAAATTAAGAATACAATCCCATTTGTGATTGCAACAAAAAGAATAAAATACCTAGGAATAAACTTAATCAAAGAGGTGAAAGATCTGTACATTGAAAACTATATAACATTGTTGAAAGAAATTGAAGAAGACACCAAGAAATGGAAAGATAGTCCATGCTCTTGGATTGGAAGAATTAGCATAGTTAAGATGTCCATACTTCCTAAAGCAATCTATAGATTCAATGCAATTCCTATCAAAGTTCCAACAACATTTTTCACATAAATGGGACAAAGAATCCTAAAATTGTGTGGAACAAGAAAAGACCCTGAGGAGGCAAAAGAATCCTGATAAAAAAGAACAAAGCTGGAGGTATCACACTCCCTGATTTGAAAATATACTACAAAGCTATAGTAACCAAAACAGCATGGTACTGGCACAAAAACAGACACACAGATAAATGGAACAGAATTCAGAGCCCAGAAATAAATCCACACATCTATGGACAACTAATTTTTGACAAGGGAGCCAAGAATATACAGTGGAGAAAGGAAATTCTCTTCAATAAATCGTGTTGGGAAAACTGGACAGCCACATACAAAAAAATGAGAGCAGACCATTATCTTACACCATACACAAAAATTAACTCAAAATAGATTAAAGACTTGAATGTAAGACCTGAAACCGTGAGACTTCTAGAAGAAAACATAGGCAGTATACTCTTTGACGTTGGTCTTAGCAGCATATTTTCAAATACCATGTCTGACCAGGCAAAGGAAACAATAGAAAAAATAAACAAATGGGACTACATCAAACTAAAATCTTCTGCACAGCAAAGAAAACCATCAACAAAATGTAAGTATAGTCTGACAATTGGGAGAAGATATTTGCTAACCAAATATCTGAAAAGGGGTTAATATCTAAAATATATATAGAACTCATACACCTCAACACAATAAAACTAACAACCCAATTAAAAAATGGGCAAAAGATCTGAACAGAATTCTCCAAAGAAGGTATACAGAAGGCCAACAGGCACATGAAAAGATGTTCAACATCACTAATTATTAGGGAAATGCAAATCAAAACTACAATGAAATATCACTTCATGCCCTTCAGAATGGCTATAATTAACAAGAAAGGAAATAACAAGTGTTGGAGAGGATGTGGAGAGAAGGGAACTCTCATACACTGCTGATGGGAGTGAAAACTGGTGCAGCCACTGTAGAAAACAGCATGAAGATTCCTCAAAAAATTAAGAATAGAACTACCATATGATTCAGCTATTCCACTGCTAGATATTTATCCCAAGAACACGAAAACATGAATGCATAAAGAGGTATGAACCCTTCTGTTCAATGTAGTATCATTTACAATAGCCAAGATTTGGAAGCAACCTAGGTGACCATCAAAGGATGAATGGATAAAGAAGATGTGATATATATACACAATGGAATACTACTGAGCCATTAAAAAGGATGGAATCTGGCCATTTGTGACAACACGGGTGGAGCTTGAGGGTATTATGCTAAGCAAAATAAGTCAGAGGGAGAAAGTCAAATACCATAAATTCTCACTCACAAATAGAAGATGAAACCAACAACAAACACACACATAGAAACAGAGACTGAATTGGTGGTTACCAGAGGGAAAGGGGGGAGCGAGGAGGGCGAAAGGGGTGATTAGGCACATGTGTATGGTGATGGATTGTAATTAGTCTTTGGGTGGTGAACATGATGTAATCTATACAGAAATCAAAATATATGATGGACAATTGAAATTTATATAATGTTATAAACCAATATACTTCAATAAAAAAAAAGATAGCAGGCACTCTCTCACTACAGAATTTCTGCATTTTCTTTTTCCACAAAAGACTTACCTCAAAAACTCCTTCACTTCTTTCAGTTCTCTGGTCAAATGTTATTACCATATTTGAGAGCCCTTCCCTATGCATTCTCCTTAAATGTTAATATAGACCCCATCTCTCACTCCCTATCTCCTTGCTTTGTTTCATTTTCTTCATACCATATTAGCACTACCAGCAATATATTTGCATATTGTCTATTTCCTCACTACTCAAATAAAAGTCCAGTGAAACAAAACAGTGCTTTGTTCTCTGCTGCATCCTCATCACCTTGAAGAGTTTTTGGAACATACCAGGAGTTCTTGAAACATATTAATTAATGGTGGAATATTGAATAAAAGGGACATGTGAAAGTCCAAGGCATCGGGATCTTATCACAAAACCACAAAAGATCATTTATTTCAATAGAAAGAATTTAATATGGTGAACTAAGTTGCAAATGTTCAAACAAGCCATGGCATGACAACTTAGATCGCAATAATGGGAAAGAAGCTGCTACCACAAGGACTAGAGAACAAATAGACGAGTTCGTGCTACCAGAGTTCAGGTTCCAGGGTCACCTAGAGGAGCCTAGAAGAAATGGGCTAGATGGTGGGGGCTGGGACAACAGAAGAGATATTGCCACTGATGGAGGAACTGTCTAAAACAATAGGAGTGTCGCTCCATTTGCTCTCCAGTCTTCCCCCATAGCCTCCTACTGCCTAAAGCAACCATAATCCCATTGGCAGGACAACCTGGAAATGTCGTTTGCAAGGACATTTACCTGGTTATTATCTCTAATTCTATTGGGGTTCCGCTCTAGCAAATGCTATCCACCTTTATTTGTTTTCAGAATGGATTATATCTCCATCACAATATTTTAAAAAATGATGATCCACCCCCTTTATATGTTATGCTTCCTAAATTATATAACAGCTTCTTTATGCTCAAAAGTACCTATTCTGTTTTATTGGTCAGCCTACCTTCTCCTGTTTCAATAACTCAGTGTTTTTATAGCTCCAATAACTCACTTGTTTTGTATATGATAAGTCTTAGAGGGAAAGTCACTTACCTTTGTTTTTCTTTTTCAAAAATTAGCATAGATATCAGCAAAAATTTATTATTCCATATAAAATTTTAACCTTAAATGAGCATTGAAATTTACATAGAAAAGAGTAGATAAAATATATATGTACATTTTAAAGAGTTATTATAAAGATAACTGTTTAACCACCATGCAAGTTACAAAATGTAGCACTCTAGTAACTAAGAAGATACACGTGTCCCTCCAGAAAAATATTTCTTCCTGCCATTTTACGAGTAACCACCATCTAGATGTTTGTAATAATCATTTCCATACATATCATTTTTTTGTGTTTATGGTTCTTTTATTTTAGGTAAAATTTGCACATGGTCAAATATACAAATCCTAAGTTCAGATTTCAATGTATTTGGATAAATTCAAATACCAGTGTAAACCACAGTCCTATTAACAGGCGTATTAATTCCATCACCCCAGAGAGATCTTTATGCTCATTCCTCGGTCATTGTTGTCCCCTAGCCGTCACTTCTTCTCATTATATATTTCATTAGGTATTAATTTTGTTTGTTCTAGAACATCACATAAATGCAATAGACTAAGTATGCTTTTTACTTGCCTTCTTTTGCTCAGTATAGTGTATGTGAAATTCGTGCATATTTTTATTTCTATCAGTATTTTGCTCCTTTTTATTGTTGAGTAGTACTGCATAGTATGAATGGGAAAGTATTTTCTAACCATAGATCTGATAAGGGGTTAATGTCCAAAATACATAAGGAACTCAAACAACTCAATAGCAAAAAAACAAATAAACCAATTTAAAAATAGGCAAAGGACTTGAATAGACATTTCTCCAAAGAAGACACACAAAGGGCCAGCCGGTATTTGAAAAGTTGCCCTACATCACTAACCATCAGGGAAATGCAAGTCAAAGCTACAATGAGATATCACCTTATACCTGTTAGAATGGCTATCATAAAGCAGACAAGAGATAAGTGTTGATGAGGATTTGGAGAAAGGAATCCATTATACACCATTGGTGGCAATGTAAATTGGTTCAGCCACAATGGAAAACAGTATGGAGGTTCCTGAAAACATTAAAAATACAGCTACCAACAATCTGACTTCTGGTGATTTATCCAAAGGAAATGAAAACAGTTTATTGAAAAGATATCTGTACTCCTATATTTATTGCAGCATTAATCACAATAGCCAAGATATGGAAAAAATCTGCGTTTCCATCAATGAGTGAATGGATAAAGAAGTAGTATGTATATACAATGGAATATTATTGAGCCATGAGAAAGAAGGAAATCCTACCATTTGCAACAACATGGGTGGACCTTGAGAGTATTATGCCACGTAAGATAAATCAGACAGAGAATGACAGATACTATACATAAATTACATGCCAAATCTAAAAAAGTCAAACTCATGGACACAGAGCGTAGAATGGTCGTTATTAGGTAGTTATCAGGTTATCAGGAGAATGGGGGATGAGGGAATTGGGAAGATGATGTTTAAGGGTACAAACTTGCAACTAGTAGATAAGATCTGGAGATG